CTACCCAGTGTGAATGTCAAACCTGGTGCATGTGTGAAACTCCTTATTCCCCCCCCCCTTTTTTTATTTGGTCTCTTGTATTCCCGTCTGATGAAAGCTGTGGAGAATGTATGGGCTGTCCTCCCTGGGTAACTGCCAAACAAAAATAAACACTATTCTATAAGACTTTTTTTTTTTCTTTTGTCCACCTCCCCCCCCCCCATAACAAGAGATGATGTAGTTGGGGATGGTCCTGCTCTAAGGGGTAGCGGGTGGGGGTGAGACTAGATGTGCTTCTGAGGTCGCTCCTAACTCTATCATTTTTGTGAAGAGTGAAATGATTCGTCTTGCTTTTCCTTGCCTCACAGGGCAGAAAGGGGGGCATTGAGCCATTAATCAAGGGCAGTTTATTCGCAGCCAACCTAGAGCCCAAAAGCCTCTCAAACAAGCAGAACCTACATCTCAAAATGCTAGCTAGGGCTGTTTAGAGGACTTCAAGGCCTTTCCTAACATGCTCTAACCCGGGCTGAAATGTGTCAGAGCTTGGAGCGATCCGGCAAGTTTATTTTTTGCCACAATTAATCAGAGAAACAACTTCAAACCTCAACATTGCACAACACAGTAAGAGATTTATAGAGGGAACCCGTTCCAAAAAAACGGTCATGGCAGTTTCCAAGGTTATTTATGTTGAAGGATTTCCTGGGCCATGGTTCAGGTTAAAGTTTAAATCCTGACTGGCTCAATGTGGGCAGGATGTCTTGGTTAAAGCCTTAAGATTGGGGATTTTTGTTTTTTGTTTGTTGTTTTTTTTTTTTTATAAAGAAATTCCTAACACCACAGGCCAGAAAACAAACTGAGATACTGCAGAGTTTATGGATACAGCTACAGCACCATCTAATGGCATCTATGCTTCAAACCTCAAGTCCCCATTAGATGAGTGTATTTTAATAATAGTTTGAACTTAGCAGATAAGTCTGCCCTACTTCAAAATAGCTGTGAAGATAATGGTCACCCTTGACATACAGGAAAAGGAAGGGAACAGAGCAGCCCTTGATATTCAGAGATTAAAAGGCTAGACTGTAAATCCCGATATGACCAGGTGTGATGTTTTTACTGGATATGGACATGCCTCGGGCACAGACTGACTTCAACCATCTGAAGAGGAGTGGAGATGCAGCAGAACAGCACCATTTGGCTTGCATAATTCCTTTTGCAAATGAAGGAATTTGTTTTTTCCGGGAAAAGTAAATGTAAGCAGATAGTGAGATCTTTACCAGAACTATCTTTAAAAGGTTCTGATGCTTCCAGTTGCATGGAAAAAAAACCTTGCAACTGCATGGATAAATTCTGCATGTTGGGATTGACTTCTGCTCCCACTCCCACAATGAACACCATCAATATTGTGAGCTAAGACTATCATTCCAGACCTGAACTGTGGGGTGTTTGCACTAATAGTTCATGGAAATCCGTTTTAAGGTTTGGTTTGCATACGCTCCTGCATATTTTAATTGTTCCTTTCTTGTTTCATGACATTTGTGGAAAGAAGAGACAGGCTTGGTAAAAATAGAACAAATGTGAAACAAATTTTCTTTTAGACCACCTATGTGGGATTAACAGCCACTAGGGTCTCTCACCTGCAAACTTTGGCTGATGGCTGCCCACCAATCTGCAACAAGTAGCAGCTCTCACAAAAACAGATCAAGATCTTTAATTCATTCTGCCTTGTACAGTCTGTAGCACCTTGCAGTTCTTCTTGGCAGGGGAGGGGGAATAAAACACAGAAAGAAGTTTAGGTCCCATCAAAATCAATGAGGTGACTCTCACTGATTTTAGTTACACAACTATGCACCTTTGGTGACCCTCAACTTGGGGGGCAGGGCAATATCAGGTTGTACATTGGGTAAGTGTTGACTTTAAATGGATAAGTGTCTGCGGTGTGCACATTCCAAGTACCTGCTTTCATTTTTATTTATTTTTTCTTTATCCAATGCCCAAAACAGTCCCCTGTTCAAAAGGCTTGTTTTTCTTTTTCTTTCACTGCTGGGAAATACTAAAAGGAGAGGACTCTAAGATTCCTGGCCTAGATGAACAGGGCTGATGGCCAGCAAACTAGTGCCCAGCGCCACTATTTTGATATCATGGGGGGGCGGGGGGGGCTTAGTTTTCCACTTCAAGGATCAAGAGCACCATCTGGTGCTGTTGGATGGAATTACAGCAGTTTGGTTTCAGTTGGGAGTGAATAAGGAACCGAAGAAAATTGAAGCTCTGGTATTCCTTTCTGACATTTTTAAATCAAGTAGATCAATTAAGTGAAAAGAGAAACACTGCTGAACCCTACTTGCCAAAGGGTACTGGATGACATTTTCTCACAGAGAAAATATCAGGGGCCAGGAAAAGGGAACTTCCCTCAAAATACAGACATTTACCACATATCTTTGGTCAGTGCCTAGCAGAGCATAACTTTGACTTGGTTCAGGTATAGAAACATTGTTCTACAATATATTGCTCTACAATACATACACATGTAGTAGCTACTAAACAGGGCAGTTTGCAAGGAGTTCTCTGGAAGCAAGAGAAGGAAAGGGAAGAGGAACCAGGCACCAGATCCTGCTCTGGGAAGGGAAGTGAGCCAGGGTTGCCTGTGTGTTTGGCTTGCTGAGGGTTGTTTGGTGGGCTATGTGCTTGGGCCTGTGCAGCCGAGAGGGCTCATTGATACTTGATTGCTGCCTAGGAGTGACAAAAGGCCTTAAATAGGCCTAGCCAGTCCAGGTCCAGGAAAGGTATACAAGGAGACACTCCAAGGCTGCATCCAGATGAGCATGGCCATGCAGTATGTGGCGCTGTGGCCACGTCTGTGGTGCCACATACTGTACATTCAGCTGTTCTCCTTGCTGCAAGGGAGCAGTGCAGGGTTGTTGTTTTTTTGACCCTTGGATATCCAACATAGTTTTATTTTAAGTAGCTAAAATTCAGCAGCTAGACCAATATTTAGGCCCCTTGTTTAACCAGAGTCCAGAGTGAGGGAGTTTGCTAGGGAGTTTGCTTGGAAATGTTGTTTCAAGAAGAAGGATTGCTAGGAAGAGATGGGATCCCCCCTGACAAAGAGAGAGAAGAGCATCTTCACAGACAGGCTCACTAACCTAGCGAGGAGGGCTTTAAACTAGGTTCACCAGGGAATGTTGACCAAAGCCCTGAGGTAAGCAGGGAAGCAGGACACCTGGAGGAATCACACGGAGGAGGGGGCAACAAGGGATGCTGCCTCATTCTTACTGAGAGAGTAGGGCAATTGGCTCATTACCTCAGGTGCCTGTACATGAATGCATGGAGCCTGGGAAACTAGCAGAAATAATTAGAAGTCTCACACACTCAAGGAACTACGATGTGATTGAATAACAGACTTGGTGGGATGGCTTGCATAACTGGAGCACTGTCATGGATGGGGATGGGTACAAACTGTTCAGGAATGATAGGCAGGGGAGAAAAAGAAGATGAGTTGCACTGTATGTAAAATAGTTGTATGATTGCTTGAGAGCTCCAGTATGAAACTGGAGATAGGCCTGTTGAGAGTCTCTGGGTTAAGGTTAGAGGGGAGAACAACAAGGGTGATGTGATGGGTGTCTGCTATAGATACAATTAGAGAAAGTTTCCAGAACACAGGCCTGGGTTCTAATGGGGGACTTCAATCACCCTGACACATGCTGGGAGGGCAACACAACAGTGCACAGGCAATCTAAGAAGTTTTTGGAGAGCACTGGGGACAACTTCCTGGTGCAAGTATTGGAAAGACCAACTAGGGGCCGTGCTCTTCTTTATCTGCTGCTCACAAACAAGGAAGAATTGGGGGGATGTAGAAGTGGATGGCAACTTGGGCAGCAGTGACCATGAGATGATTGAATTAAGGATCTTGGCAAAAGGAAGAAAGGAGAGCAGCAGAGTAAGGACGCTGGACTTCAGAAAAGCAGACTTTGACTCCCTCAGGGAACTGACAGGCAGGATCCCCTGAGAGGCCAGTCTGAGGGGGAAAGGAGTCCAGGAGAGCTAGCTGTATTTGAAAGAAACCTTACGGAGGGTGCAGGATGTGCAAATATGGCAGGCGACCAGCTTGGCTTAGCAGAGAATTTTTCAGTGAGCTTAAACCCAAAAAGAAAGCTTACAAGTGGAAACTTGGACAGATGATTAGGGAAGAAGATAAGAATATTGCTTGGGCATGCAGGGATGAAGTCAGGAAGGCCAAAGTGCAATTGGAGTTCAAGCTAGCAAGGGATATGAAGACACAAAGGGTCTCTACAAGTGTGTCAGCAACAAGAGGACTATCAGGGAGAATATGGGTCCCTTACTGAATGGGGGAGGCAACCTAGTGACAGAAGTACTCAATGCCTTTTTTACCTTGGTCTTCACAGGCAAGGTCAGCTCTCTGACTACTGCACCAGGCAGCACAGTTTGGGGAGAAGGTGAGCAGCCCTCAGTGGTGAAAGAACAGGTTAGGGACTATTTAGAAAAGCTGGATGTGTACAAGTCCATGGGACTGGATACAATGCATCTGAGGGTGCGGAGGGTGTTTGCTGATGTGACTGCAGAGTTGCTGGCTGTTATCTTTGAAAACTCACAATGATTGGAGAAGGTTCTGGATGATTGGAAAAGGAAAATATGCACCGATACATCAGTCTCATATCGGAATGGCACTGATATAAGGAAAACTGACTGTATCGGCAATCAGCTTTTTGTGGCTGATGTGGTCTATAACGTGGCCAATAAATGCCCCGTGCACGTGTACAGCCTCAGCAGCATGCAGGTGATAAGGAGCACAGTCCGGCAGTGTGAAGAGCAGGGTCCAGCTGGTAAATCTGTTGTGGTGGAAAGGGTGGGGGGAGGGAAGGGGCATGGGGGGGCAGATTGAGGCCCCTGTGGTAAGGGGGGGAGCGAGGCTGGGGCAGAGGCAGGCACTGTCCAGCTGGGGCAGGGCTGGGCATGGGATAGAGCCGTAGCTTGCCTGGAGGGTACGGGGAGGGGTGGGGCAGATCCCGCCACTGCACACACCCCAGGAGGGCATAGGGGGTGCATGACGCTGGATCTGTGTGGAGCCTGGGTGGTTTGTCACTGAGGGCTAGGGAAGCGCCAAGCTCTTGCCAGCGGGGGGCTGGGCTGTGCTAGGGGTGGGCAGCAGTGGTGATTCTGGGAGGATGGTTATGGGGGGGCTATGGCAAATTTTGGGGGGGCTGCAGCCACCCCCTGTAGCCCCACTCCCAGTGCTGCCACTACCTGCCTCAGCCCCCCACTGGGAAGATCTTGGCCCCAGCCCCAGGTCTTAGCGGCAGCTTGCCATCACCCTACATGCAGATCCATGGGGCACATGTCCCCCATGCCCTCCCGGGGGGGGGGGGGCATGCAGCAGCGGGAGCCACCCCCTTTGCCCCTCAGATTAGCTGCTCATGGCTCCATCCCATGCTCTGCCCTGCCCTGGCTGGGCAGTGCCTACCCATGCCCCTGCCCAGCCCCACTCCCTCCCTCACTGCAGGGGACTCGATCTGTACCCCTCATGCCCCTTCTCTCTCCCCATCCCTTCCACCACAACAGACTTACCAGCCAGATACTGTTCTTCAAGCTGCTGGGCTGCATATCTGCAATCATATCGGTATTGGCCAATATGGGTCGTTAAAAATCAGCTACTGGTATCAACCCAAAAAATCTCTATCAGTGCACCCCTAGAAATATAGTGCCTATCTTTAAGAAAGGGAAGAAGGAGGATTGAGGGAACTACAGACCAGTCAGCTACACTGCAAAAATCATGGAGCAGGTCCTCAAGGAATCCATTTCTAAGTACTTAGAAGAGAAAAAAGTGATTAGGACCAGTCAGCATGGATTCATCAAGGGCAACTCATGCTTAACCAACCTGATTGCCTTCTATTATGAGATGACTGGATCTGTAGATGTGGGGAAATTAGTGGATGTGATATACCTTGACTTCAGCAAGGCTTTGGATAACATCTCCCACGGCATTCTTGCAAGCAAGCTAAGGAAGTATGGGTCAGATGAATTGACTGTAAGGTAGATAGAAAGCTGGCTGGATTGTTGAGCTCAACAGGTAGTGATCAATGGTTTGAGGTCTAGTTGGCAGCTTGCATCAAGTGGAGTGCCCCAGGGGTCAGTTTTATTCAAGATCTTCATTAACGATCTGGAAGATGGGATGGAGTGCGCTGTCAGCAAGTTCATGGATGACACCAAAATGGGGCGGGCGGGGAGGGGGGCGG